CCCCACCCCCCTTTTCAACCCAACCCTCCACCCCACCCCCCCCCCCCCCCCCCCCCCCCCCACCACCACCACCACCACTACCACCACTACTCCCAAACACCTGCTAAGGAAAATGTCCAAAAGACTGAAATCATCACCTCCAGGCTGTCACCCAAACCCCTCTCCACTGTACCCTTTGCTTATCCGATCCCGAACTCTTGTCCCCACCCCCTTCCTCAAGACATATTGGTGGCTGAGCCATCTAGAACCCACTTTCCGGAAATGCCTCTCTGATTTCTTTGACCTCACCCATTTCTTTGACCTACATCTTCTCTCGCCTTGGCATCCATTTTTCCTTTATGCTTCCACAACAAACCTTGCAACTTTCTAGATGTTGAATCTGCTATAGAAATACAAGTGGTTTTTGTTGTTGCTCGTACTGTTAACAAAATAGAATATTTACTGAGAAAGCTTCATGGTAAGAAAATACAAGTTAGACAGGACAGCTTCTTTGACTTCCACATGTTTAAAAGCAGGTTTCTGAAAATCCTGACAAGGTTAAGAAAGAATAGAACATCTGTGCATTGCTAGTTTTAATCCCAGACAGTCACATTTCCATGATAATCTATGTATTACACAGTAGTCAGGGTTACATTTGGTTCAATATGAAGTAATTGGTTATAATCCTTATATATTAAGGCTTAAATAAAAATACATTGCACAGATCTGCAATCAACATTGAAACATAAGTGAAGGAACTTAGTGGAATTCAGCTACACTGAAGATCTTATTGGCTGGGTTGCAATAAATTCCATTCTATTATCGGCCATCTGTTGCAAAGATGAGCAGCACACGAAGGCTAGATTTGGAGCTGGTTTAAAATATGGTTGACAACAGTCATTACACACCCTTTCAGGGAAGCGATTGGATTGGGATAGCAGGGAGCCTGACATTGAAACAAATAGGTTTGTGTGTCATTATAGGCCTGGCGATCCACAGAGCACAACACTGACAGGCTGCAAATCTTCATCGAAACACGAATTAGGGAATAAAATCAATGAAAGGACAACTGACTCTGCATTATTTGTGCAGGCGGCCGCCCCCGGAGTGAGCGCGGTGCTGGATTGCGGCTGATCGCATGCAATCTCGCTGCCAATTTCAATTCTGGTGAAATTGAAATCGGTTCCTTCTCCATTGTTGGGAATTTCTCTCAGCCCACGCCGGGAGCTGGAGCGCAGTGTCCTGACACAATGACTTCACAACCTTTCCTCCCCAGGGCTCGGCAAGTGGAAGGCCCCTGAACAACATCCGAAATGGTGAAAGAGCCGCCCACACCTCCCTGTGAGATATTGCAACATAGCCCGACCATCCCAACATCGGCAACGTGCTCTGCCATTACCGAGAGAGAGATTAAATAAAAATGATTAGCCAGATCTCGCCGATCAAACCCCCCTCTTTTTTTTAAAAAATAAAATTATAAATAAAACATCTTCAGCGCGAATGGACCCTTTCCTTGATATAAAAAGGACAGCCACAATGAAACATGAAGGATGCACCTATAAAATGGCAGCGTTGTAATCTTATCTGCACCGCAACATAATTCAGGCAGCAATAGCAGGAGGGTGGGGGACAGATTCTACAAGATGCCCATTAACGCTGCGAATTCATTCACTCTCTCTTTTTAACAGAAAAGGAGACAGTGAACCTTTTGCACAAGTTCGGGGCGAGGCTCTCTCCATCAAAGGTACACCCAACAGCACCATTTGAAACAAAAACCTGGAAAGAAACAGCTTTTCCCCGTGTTTTATTTCATCGCGTCCCCCTTTCGCTCGGCCAGGTCCTTCAAAGCCACAAAGCATTCCAGTCATTTAAACGTACATGTAACAAAAAGTGAAAGTCGTACCTGTCTTTCAAATTCCAGGAGATTTCTCTCGAGTCTCGCTTTCCTTTATTTTGGAGGTGTACTTAGTGGAATCAGTGCAGAGGTTTTTTTTTGTTTTTTAAAAATAAATATATTCTATTTCTCTGTGTGTGTGTGTGTGTGTGTGTGTGTGTGTGTGTGTGTGTCAGTCTGTGCTACCTCGGGCTGCTAGCTGCCTGTGAAAGCTCGGCTGCGCCTCTCAACGCTGCTCTACATTATTTAAATGGCTGATTCGCCGGCTCGACACGCCACATGGCCTGACAGATTGGGTTTTCAGCTCAGTCCAATGAGAGAAGAGGCAGGGCTGGACCACAACCTCATGAGATGATCAACTCCCCCTCCCCCATTCAAACGCCTGAGAAATAAAGGTTACTACAGTTCATGTGCAACATCGTGGTAGCGGCCTGGCTTAAAAGAAAAAAAGATTCAGAACAAACAGACAGACAGACAGTCTCCAACCTGGAACCTCAAACATACAACACTTTTTCGCCCCGGTTTAAAGCCTACACTGAGCAAGTAAATGAATAATAATTAGTTTATTGCAACGAGAGAACTAAATTGCTCTGACTGGTTCTCGAAAGAAATGCATCCTAAGACCTCTAGACAGAATATTTACATTGTTTAATTTTTGCTCATGTAGTGTATCTTTGCTACGTGGTCCAGAGGCATTGAACTACTTTGAGAACTGTTTTTATCAGGCTAAAGGTCGCCATTGTCAGAGAGAAACAACTCATGTTAGTTTAACCTAATGCTAAGGGAGTCCTTCATGGTAAACCTCAGCCTGTGCCGGGCATTGAACCCACGCTGCTGGTATTAGTCTTTTTGGGCAGATGGCCGTGCAGCCAATTGAGCTAAATAATCCCTTACCTTCGTTTTTGTAGCAGATGTGATTTCACCGGGTCCTGCTTGTGTGGTGATGTCCGACAGGCGAGGCGAAGAAAGAAGAGAAAGAGGGAGGTTCTTGTTTGACTGGGCAGACAGGGAGGAGTGGCCAGAGGGCGAGTCAGCCAGCACCATGCTTCTGCTTGTACATGCAGGTTTAAACAACACTGAGAAACCTGGCAGGAAGTTACTTGCCTCTGTGCTCTCTTACCCAATGACAATGTGGTAGTTTCACTGGTGCTGAGACCGGTTTGTTTTATTTAATCAAATTTAACTCTCCCAGTTACTGTAGTGGAATTCGATCAAGGGTCACCTAAGCAATAATTCAGGCCTCTGCATTACTAGTCCAGTAACTGCTGTGCATGGTATCCTCCCAGCATTGGATGTGGGGGTTGTTCAATTCAATTGTTATATTCCTAATTGTCTCTCCCACTACATTTTTTGGATTGAAAACTTCAATTTATTCTCTTGCAACATGAATCACGTGAATTTAGTTGTGAAAATGGTCATTGTAATATTCAATATTTCCTAATGAACCTGTTCAGAAAAGTTACCTCACACTCCTGGAACAGCTGGGACTTCAATCCATAAAAACATAGGAACATGCGGTCGAGTCTCCTCTGCCATTCAGTGAGATCATGACTGATCTGCTAATCTTCAAAACACTTTCCTGTCTTTTCCCTTGAACCCTTGATCCTCACACTGATTAAAAAGGTGTTTGTCTCAGCCTTGACAGTACTTAACGATCTAACCTCTACAAACCTTTGTGGTGAAGAATTTCACAGATTCACTATCCTCTGAGTGAAGAAATTCCTTCTAATTGCTGTTTTACGTGTGTGACCCCTTATTCTGAGATTATGCCCTCTGGTCCTAAACTCTCCCACAAGGGGGACAAAACCTTTAAACATCTACCCTGTCAAGTCCCTATCCTAACCATCCATTAATGTACTATAAGATAGTTGTAAAAATGGGCTAAGTATATTTTGCATTCAAATACATTTTCTGATCCTTTAATGAATTTTTATTCATTACTGCAGATACTGGAAATCTGAAACAAAAATAGAAAATACTGTCAATACTTGTCTGGCAACTCCTCATAGAGATGACAGGTTTTCATGAAAATCAACAAGTTGAAAGTTGAAAGTTTTCGTGCCAGATGCTTCCTGACCTGCTGAGTGTTTCCAATGGTTTCTGCTTTTATTTAAAATCATTGCTTGTTGATTCTATGATTTCCCATAAACTGAGTTTCAATCTCTTTGATTACATTTCCACTGTATCGACCCAGCTCTTATCAAAATCACAAATGATATCTATGTGACTGTGCTTAGAGATAAGCTATTGGTTCTTATCCTTATGTGTCTGTAGTCCTGGATGATCACAACAACAGCTACCTATGCTTCTACTCCGTTGTCCAGATGGATGGGATTGTGTTCGCTCGGTTCTATTCTCATCTGTGTATAGTTGAAGCCAGAGAATCATCTGCAATAGCTTCTCTTCACATTCATGCACTGTTACCTTTCATGGCCCCTAGGGATTGATGCATAGACACTACTAATATCATTTGAAAACAGGTCAGTTTTAATGGGAATAATGGTGGTTATCTTCAAAACGTCTGGAATAGTTTGTACAGATTGGAGGGTGGCAAATGTAACAGATTGGAGGTGGCATAAAGGATTTAGAAAACAGGGAATCACAGATCAATTAGCTTAACATCAGTAGCAATGAAATGTTGGAATCTTTCATAAAGGATGTGATAACAGGACACTTAAAAATACAAGTGAGATTACACAAAGTTATCATGGATTTCTGAAAAGGAAATCATGGTTGACACACCTGTTGGATTTTTTGTCAGGATGTAACTGTGAGAATAGGTGAGATTGAACCAGTGAGGATGGTGTATTTGGACTTTCAGGAAGCTTTTGATAAAGTCCCACATAAAGGGTTAGTGTGCAAAACCAAGCACTGGTAGTAATGTGGAGAGTTGTAGGATTTTTACAATGTGGAAAAAAGGCCTTGTAGCCCATCATGTCCATGTGGGTCATCAAGCATCTAATTCCATTTTCCAAATCTTGGCTTGTAGCCTTGTATGTTAGGTCATTTCAGGTGCTCATCTGAATGTTGTGGAAATGTTTTGATGTTTTCTGCCTCTACCACCCCTTTAGGCAGTGAGTTCCAGATATCCACAATCCTCTGCGTGAAAATGTTTTCCTAAAATCCATCTAAATCTCTTGCTCCTTGCCTTAAAACTGTGTCCTTGTGTATTGACCCTCTACAAAGGAGAAAAGTTTCTCCATGTCTACTTTATGCCATACATAATGTTATACACCTTCATCAAGTTTTCCCCCTCAGCCATCTCTGCTCTAAGGAAAACAACCCCAGCCTATCTATTCTCTCTTCATAGCGGAATCACTCCAAGGTAACACCCTGGAGAATCTCTTCTACATCCTCTCTACTACAATCACATCCTGGTATATACTGGCTTGGATTGAGAATCACTTAACAAGCAGGAAACAGAGGAGAAATAATAGGTAATTTTCATAGTGGAAGTGGTGACAAGAGGGGAACTGCAGTGCTTAGGCTCCAGCTATTTGCAATATAAGTCAACAATTTGGATATTAAATCAAATGTAATATTTCTGATAACATAAAACTAAGAGGGATTGTGAGTGATGAGAAGGATGTTTCAAGGTTCCAGGACGACTTTAGACAAGTTGAGCGATTTGGTAAATGCATGACAGATGCGGTATAATATGGATAAGTGCAAAGTTGTCCATTTTGCTAGGAAAAACAAAATGGAAGCTTATCATTTGAATAATTATACATTGGAAAATGTTGATCTGAAAAGGGACTTGTGTGTTCTTGTACACTGATCATTGAAAACAAACATGCAGGTGCAGCAAGAAATTAGGAATGCAAAGTACTTTGGCCTTCGTTGCAAGAGGGTTTGAGTGCAGGAGCTAGGAAGGCTTATTGCAAGTGCAACAGCGCCTTGGTGAGATTACACCTGGAGCGTTGGGTGTAGTTTTGGTCTCCTTATCCCAGAAACGATATACTTGCCAAAGAGGAATGCAGCACAGGTTCACCAGATTGATTCATGGGCTGGCAAGTTTGTCACAGGATAAAGATTAGGTTGACTGGGTCTGTATTAACTGGAATTTAGAAGAATGAGAGGGAATCGCACTGAAACACACGAAATTCTGACAGAGCTGGGCAGACTGGATGCATGGATGATACTTCTCCAGCTGGAGCATACAGAACAAAGGATCGCAGTCTCAGAATAAACAGTTGGCCATTTCAGACTGGGATGAGGAGAAATTTCTTCACTCAGAACAAGGTGAACCTGTGGAATTCTCAACCATAGAGGGCTGTGGGGGCCGAATTACCAAATATATTTAAGAAAGGAGTAGATTTTTAGAGGCTGAGGTGTCAATGGTGTTGGTAGAGAACAGAAGTAGAGAGTTGAGATAGAGGAACCACCATAAGCATGTCAAATGGTGAAGTGGGCTCAAAGGGCCGGATGGTCTAATTCTGCTTCTAATTTCTGGGATTTTATAACCTCCAATTCTACCTCAGTGCTACCTCTCTCAGCCCCTCTGCTTTCTCTAATTGGTCAGATTACTTGTCCAAGGTACTGGATAAGCAGAAAATTTCCTGCAATGAAATGTAGGGAAGACCCAAGCACAAGCTCCATCTCCAACTCCTAATTCCATCCCTCTTCCTTGCAACTGCCTAAAGCAGACTGTTCACGACTTTAGTGTCATATTTAATTTTGAGATAACCTTTCAAACATTTATCTGTGTCATGTCTAAGACATATCTTTTCCCATCTCTGTTACTTCACCCCTGCCCTAGTTCATTTAGTGATGACATCTTCTTTCATGCCTCTTTTACCTCTGGACCTAACTAGTGTAACGCATTCTTGGTTGCCTTTCATAAAGTTAGCATCATCCAAAACTCTAATGCCGTTGACAAAAATTGTACCAAGTCCTGTCCACCTACCACACTGAGCTCACTGACCTATGTTGGTTAGCCTTGATTTTAAAAATCTCATCTTTTATTCAAATCCATCCATGTCCTCAGCATTTCCTATCTCTTGCAGCCCCACTACTCTCCATGATATCTACACTCCTTGGAATCTAGTTTCTTGAGCATTCTTGATTTTAATCACTGCAGCAAAGGAGGCAATGGCCTAGTGCTATTATCATTAGACTATTAACCTAGAAGACCCAGATAATGTTCCAGGGACTTTGTTTCATGGCAGATGGTGGAACTTGAATTCAATAAAAATCTATAATTAAAAGTCTAGTGATGACCATGAAACTGTTGTTGATTGACAGAGGAGATAAACCATCCGGTTCCTTTAGGAAAGGAAATGTGTGACACCAGACTCACAGCAACGTGGTTGACTCTTAACTGTTAACCTAGACAAATACGAATGGGCAATAAATGCTGTCCCAGCCAATGATTCCCACAGCCTCTGGATGAATAAAAACAGCATTGATGGCATGGGCCTTCAGATGTCTGGACACGAAGCTCTGGAATTTCCTCCCTCAACATCTGAGTCTCTACCTCACTTACTTTCTTCCATTAAACTGCTCCTTATAACCAAGCTTCTTGGTCATCTGCTGCAATATTGCATTAGGCTGTTTGTTGTCATATTTTGTTTTATAATGCTTTTGTGAAGCCCCTTGAAATGTTTCCTTGTATTAAATGTGCTATAGGAATATGTTATTCTTGTGATTTTCTTAAAAATTCATTTATGGGATAGAGGGCATCATATGCTAGCGACAATTAATCATCCCTGGAGAAGGTGATGGTGAGCTCTGTTCCTGAACCATGGCTGCCCATATGGTGCCATATGGTGCTGTGAGGCAGAGTCGCAGGATTTTGATCCAGTAACAATGAAGGAACAATAGCAAGATTCCAAGTCAGGATGGTGAGTGTCTTGGAGGGGAAGTTACAGATGATGATAATCCCATTCATCTGCTGCCTTTGTCCTTTTAGCTGATGGAGGTTGCTAGTTTGGAAGGTGCTTTATTCTATAACTCCTGGTGAAGCATTTGGGGAAGTTTTTTATGATACGAAAGGTTTTATATAAATACAAGATAACACAGTGTGGA